AATTAAAGTCTACTGTTTCACAGACAACACATGGCTTTTTGGCTAGATTTAAAACAAGGAAAAGTGCACTTTTAGATAAGGCAATAATGGATGGCACTCATGGTGGTAGTTAAAGTTATTTATATTTAAACGTGAATATGTCTATGAAAGATTGTATTACTGTACTGCACTGCGATAAAAGAGAGTCACAATGCTGAAAAAGCATTTTCAGAAACAAACTTGCATTTGAAATCAAAATAATGGATAAATGTGTTTGTGGTAAACAGCCGCAGATCAGGAGCGGACTGTAAACGCGTCCTGTGCGACAGCAAAATGAGTCCGTGCTGCTTCTGCACTGCATACACGCACTGCAGACGGAGTACGTGTGAACTTGGCGCAACAAATCTAGTTCAACATCTGAGGCAACGCCACAAAGAGCTCTATGACCAATGCATGGCAAAAAAAAATCCCTGGACACGGGATTTTTATTTAATTTTTTTTCTGCCATATGTCTATTCTAGAGACATTTTGTTACACCTTTACTTAGTGATTATTTTGCCTTATGTCTGTTCTAGAGACATGTTACAGCTTCTTGATAAAGCTCTAATTGGTTTTTTGTAAATATGTTTCAAATTCACACTTAATGACTGTAAAGCATGTTTGTGTGTCAAAATCATGATTAAAATCTAAATCGTAATATTGATCAAAGAAATCGCGATCGTTTTTTTTTTGTCAATATCGCACAGCCCTAAATACATATTCTGTGGAAGGCGTAGTACCAAGAAATGTTTTTTTACATTTTCGGAGATGCCCCTTTAAATAACAAAAATATTTAGCAATATTACTGTTTTTACTTTATTTTGTAATGCAATCCTTGGTGATTAGAAGAGATTTCTTTAAACTTTATTATTATAATTTTGTTTACTTACCAACCCCAAAATTTTGAATAGTTGTGTAAGTGGATGATTTGTGATGAAGGATTGAAATTGGGTCTCTTTTCTCTACCAGAATTCGATTCCCTGCACAGAATGCGAAGGGTAAAAAGCGTAAAGCAAATGAGGAGGAGAAGCCAGATGAGGAAGATCTCACGCTGGTGGTGGAGCCTCATGTGATTCCCAACAGGGGCCCGTATCCCTACAACCAGCCCAAGCGGTATGTGGAGCTCATGCTCACAGTCACAGGTTCAGGGCCAAACCTTTTAGACAGTCCAAGATCTGTTCTTGGTTCAGCCTCTCAGCCAAAGATGCACTCAATATACGTATAAACTTTGCCTGTTATGGAAACACTGACATCCATTTTTGTCCACTTCAACAGAAACACAATCCAGTTTACATCAACCCAGATAGAAGCCATTCGTGCAGGGATGCAACCGGGACTTACTATGGTAAGAAATCTATTTATTACACGTAACACGGTTTTTATTTATGTATACAGTGGTGGCCAAAATGATTA